AGAACACTGTTCTAGTACTGTCAAAAATATTTCACATGGGGTTTCTTACAATTTGCTTTAACATCCAGTGTCCAGCAGTGTCCAATTCTGCAGAGCCTTCATGTTTTCTCTGATTTCTTCACTATCTTGCAGCTGTTCTGGTTTTTGTTAATTTTTGGGAGGGTGAAAAAAGAAAGTTATGACTTCTTTCAGAGTGCCTGAGCTCAGGAACTGGGAAGGGGTTTAGGATGACTGTGGCCATAGGTACTGAGGGAATAAAAAGTAAGAAAAGAGCATGGTACTAGGAAGAAGAGTATGAAAATCCTAAAAACAGCAGTCCCACATTGAACCAGATGTGAATATAAAACCTCAGACTTTGAGACAAGAAACAGACTGTGTCCCAGTAATCTTCAGCAAATGCCTGGACCAGAGAGGAAGGACCATGAAAGGACATAGCAGATGGGGGACATCAGATTTGAAAGTATTTATTTAACCTCTCTCATCCAGCACATGATCTGCAAGAGAGCAGCCTGAAGAACCTTCCCTGGAGGGTCTGTGTACCCCAGGCCTATACAAACTGGGCAATTTTAACATCTCTAAACCTAGAAGCTGACTTTGCTACAAAAATATGGGATGGAGAGTTTGGGAAACAAAAAGGAAGACAAAGGAAGACTGGGGAAATTGTAAAGGTAGTAATGTGGAAAGTCAGATGGTCTGAAAAACTTGGGAAGAAGTTTAGAGGTGGCAGCCAGCAATGCTGGCACAGTGAAATAGTATGGATGAGGAAAAGGAACTTTCACCAAACAAGCAGACAAGCTGCTTCCATTAGAAATAGAATTCGACTGGACTGGTTGGAGGTGAGAGCTGTAAAGGAGCAGCATGAGTCTGACTGGGCAAGGGATGACAAGCCTCAGGAGGAAGGATTTCTCTAATAATTGTCTGCAAAGAATTGGCCGTAGAGAACCTTCCTGTACTAGTGCAGACTACTGAAAAGAACTGGCCTGAGATGCCTTAAATCCCCTAAAACTAAAGAGCTGTCTGATGTTCACAGTCACCACTGACTTGGATGCAGTCCTAGTCCAGACCTTACGCTCTAAGCCTACATGTAGGTCTAATAATGGGTTGTCAGTGCCTTCCTCTCATTGCAACAGACATTTTTCTCTATCATTTGGGACAGGGAAGACCACCTTTGCCTGATGCTCTCTTTCATGACATTAGTTTCCAAATCCAGCACCCTGGATTCCAAACCCCTTCTAAGCCAGTAGTTTTTTTTCCCAGGTTTGTGTTAAACACTCTTCAGTAGGATTCTTTTCCTTATTCCCTTGGTTCTTTTCCATGTGGGCAGTGTACCTCAGTCCTTTCTTCATTGTCATAACTCTTCTTAGGGAGGAGATCTCCTGCAAAGCTCACTGTTAGGCTGGGCTGACAGAGGGGAGGTTGCCAAGCTCCAGGCCCCCTGGCCCAGCTGGCAGTAAGAATGAGAATGTCCCGCCAGTATTTATACAGGTAAATACCAAGCATACATACATATATACACAGCTGAACACATAGATCAACACAGATGCACTCACAGAAACAGCACTGAATGCCTCATCTTTTGTCCCTCTCTGGCCAGGGTTCACAGTGGGAAATCAGGGTTCTAGACAAGGGTTCAATAGTGGGAAATATATGTACACACATGTACAGTGTGCAAGCTTTCCACAGGTTTCCATGCTTAGACACTGAGTCCAGTGGCTGTCGCTGGATCCCAGTCACCACATGTGCCGGCCCTTGGTCCTCTGAGCCCCCAAATGCTGCAGCCCACTCCAGTCACCCTTATGTCCACACACACACACACACGCACACACGCACACACGCACACACGCACACATGCACACCTCTCACCCAGCTCCCTCTACAAAAAATGCCTGGGCCTACCCTGCTCCCTCTGGGTGTCACCTCTCATGGTTCTTGCCAGAGACACACACCTGGAGCCCAGGTCACCTCACTTACTTGCTAGGTAGTCTGGCTTCATGTTCACTAGTGATCACACACACAAACCACCTCCGTCTCCCCAGCTGCCAGCATGGGGAACACAGCTCCCTGCCCCCTCCTCTTGCCTGTGGCTCTACTCCAGTGTCTGCTGCTTAAGTTCTCTGGTCTCTCCAGCTGCTGGTGCCTGCAGTGTGACTCCAGTTCCTAGCCCTTAGATGTCCAGACACAAAACACATGTACATAGAATAGACAGTTCCTCCCTCAGGTAAATACTTAGAAATGGAACTTAGTAAAACAGGGATTACACTGAGCTAAGCCAGTTCAAAGCATAGACAGTACAAGCATACTCACCAGCATCCTGTTTATCTGTGAGTGGCCTATTTTATAACTCCACCTTTCTTCATCTGTTCTTCCCCAAGTACAGTATTCAGGGTCTTACTTGGGAAGACTGACCATGCCTGCCTTTATCTTGGTATTTTTTTGTTTTCCCTTGTTTAATCTTTAATCTTAAAGAAAATAGACTGAAAGAATTAGACATTTTAAACTGAAAAATGAAAGGGTTGTCAATTTAGCGACTCTACAAAAGGCAGTAATGTATTAAGCAATTCCCAAGAGACACACTAGAGGTCCTGTGTTACATCTTCCAGATACTTCCTTCCTTTGGAGAGTCTGCAATAGTCTTTTGTTTCCTGAGACAGAAAAGCTAATCAGAATAAAAATCTTCATCCTGGAATGAGAAATAAATTCTAAAAGAAGTGATTAGAGATGAAGGTGTAGCCCAGCTGCACTGAAATGATTTGGCCTTGTCTCAAAGTTCTTACACAGAACAACCTCAGAATTAATTCCCACAGTCTCCAGAATCTGTTTCATTTCCCATCAAGTCTCTCCCTCAAGGATTTAAGGTCTGATTACTACTGGGAAAAAAGGAAAGTGTTGAAAGATTTGGTATGACAGACAATAATCAAACTGAAAATCCTGTACTATCTTCATGCAAAAGCCATACATTTTGGGACATCGATCAAAGCAGCAGTGTCCTATGAAACTGTCTCAGCAGGGTCCATGGAAGTATCTAAAAGTGTCCCATGCTAGAAGTAAGACGAAAGGGAAAAATGTCAAAAAAATCAAATGAAGAAAAAGTAAAATCAAAATAAACCCTCCATAAAGAGAGGTAAAGTTTGTGTGGAGTAAAAGCTAAAAATATGGATCAAAGAATACTCCATATTGAAATATAAAAGGATGTGGAAGTATATGAAATGTCTTCAAATTTACTTTGACTAACTGATGTATTGACTTTGATAACAATTCAAAGAAAAATGTAAAAGTTATGGAAAGTAATTCAGAAACCAAAAAGGCCAATATCATATACAATTCCTTGACAAGTCACCAAAACTGTAATATCTTCAGCACAGGACTCAATCTCATGACAGCAAAGGAAAGGAATAATATCTCCTGAGAAAACCCAAGAAGTGGCCAAACCTCTATTTCTTAGATGTGAAGTGTTCATGACACTGGAGATTACACAAAACTTTTATACATCATGTAAAATGCATTTTCATTCCTTACTGGGAAGAAGCTATAGCTTCTCAGGTAATTTCTGTTAACTCCTTTAAAAAGAAGGATTTAAAAAATGAGACAGGGAACATTAACTACACACACTGAGATTTCCACTGCTCTGAATCCTGGAAGATTCAGGAACTAAGCCTCAAGCCCCAGGAAAGTACAATATTGCCAGGCTCATAGAAAGGACATGCTTTCTATATAAATATCTAGAGGCCAAGGAAAGATATAAATCTCTCTAGAGCATCAGGAAAATATGGAATAGGGGATAACAACAAAATGTGAAGAAAAAGAGAAAATCTCAAAAGTATCCCACAGCTTTTGGAAGATGCAATATCAGGATTACTGAAGGTCGTTGGAATTAAATGTGTTTCATTAAAAGCACTAGGGAGAAAAGAAGCAGTTGCAATAATAATTTTGTATCTTATATATTCAGAAAAGAATGGAGAGTGGCATAGGTGCTATAAATAGAATAGAATAGAATAGAATAGAATAGAATAGAATAGAATAGAATAGAATAGAATAGAATAGAATAGAATAGAATAGAATAGAATAGAATATGTTCTATATGTGGAATAGGCTGACTAGAATGTATCTGGCAGACAAAGAGTGGCAGACAAAGGCAAACAGAGCGTTCAGGAAATTTATGTTTAACTATGATATTCGCTTTGAGAAAAAACAGCTGGCAGAGATGTCTTGCTTTTTGTAAAAGTGGATTAGGGCTCTCAGGAAGATTATCTGCCAGGGAATATGCATCCCTGGCTGGAAAACTGAAGAAATTAAGATACGATTGAACACAATTTTTGTGCTTTTGATATCTTGAGCAATCACCTTTGCTTCTGACTAACAAGGTACGAGTTGTGAGATACCATGGGATGTTTAGAACAACTCTTCAGAATGAAACAATACAGGCATACTTCTGCTGGAAATCATTCTGCAAGGATGGCCCAAGTTATATCCACTGATATAAATGGGTCAAAAAGTGAATCCACTGATCCTAGGTTCCTGTCTGACCTCCAGCACCCAGACCCTCTCAGTCAAGGAATGACAGTTCAGCATTCAGCTAGCAACATAATGTGGTCTGCGAGAAATTTCACATTTGTGTCAGGAGTTCAGAACACTGTCTTGTGGAAAAGCTAAAGCAGAACTTGGAGGCACGTGAATATTTAGCTTTGCTTTTACTGGCTCACCAAAGAAAGCATCAAAGCTGGACAGTCTCTTCTCTCTTCCCTGCCCAAGCTTGACAGACAGAGCAAGAGGAGGAGCATCGGTCTCTAAACTCACACAGTGAGCAGAAGCACACTGTCCTGGGAGAGCTGGAGGGCCATGCTGGCTGTTGTACTTGCTCTTTTATCTGGTGAGAGACAACAGATCTGTCTGCAGCAGGGCTCTCATCCAGGCCATGCAGGGCTAGGGTTGGGTGAGGACACCTCTGGCCATTAGCTGTACTCCTACTCCTCACTCTCTCTTGTTATCTCTTGTTAATGCAGGTTTTGGGGTTGCACTCTACATTGAACAGTGGCCAGAAAAAATCCTTCAAAGAGCTGGAGACTCTTTGAACATCTCCTGCTACCAGAATTACAGCAACCTTGCCTATATGTTCTGGTATCAGCAGCCTCCAAGACATGGTTTGAAGTTAATAGTTAGTAGTACTTCATGGAGGCATAACTCTTACGAGCATGGTTACAGTGAGGCCAAGTTTGAAGTAACCAGAGAGAGTAGTTATTACGCTCTGATGACAATCAAGAACTTGACATCCAAGGACGAAGCTACGTATTTTTGTGCTGCGAGCGATCACACGGTGTAGCAACGTGGTTGAACACTAAGATAAAATCCCCACCTTCTCTGGGTGAGAGATGGAGTCTTTGAAAATTGTGAGGCTGTCAGGAGAGGGGGAGAGGAAGAGGAGAAAGAAGACTAGGTAGAAGTTGGGGCAATAGACCCAGGATGTTTTGAAGTGGAGAGAGACATATCTCTGCAGCAGCCTCTGTCTTCAAAGGCAAAGACCTTCAGACATAGAAACCCATAGATCAGCATAAAGAATTGAGGAATGGTTGGATATGGTTATGGTTAGATAAGGCAGCAGATATTTCTGATGATTAGTACTACAGAAGCACAGTCATGTTCCATGCAACTAGTTCTACACAGACATCCCCACTGCACCAGGAAAAAAGTACAAAGCAGCCAGAGATTTCCAAGTTCTTCCATATAGTCACAATCCACACAGAACTGAGGTGCTCAATGAGAAACTGATTGGTGTGTGAGGAGAGCTCAGCCCCTGATTATGGACTGAGGATGATGGGACCAGTAACTGTGAAGAAAAAAACATGCCCAGGGGACCAGGCATACCTCGCATTGTAGAAGAACAGTCCCTTGGCATCTTTACAAGCAACAGTGTGCACTACAGCATTTTATTTGCCTTCTTCACACACTTCTTAATTGCAGGATCCCTTTCTTCCCTGCCACAGGAATGCATACAGTTCTGAGCTGGACCCAGGCATCCCTCCCTTCAGGGCAAAACCTCATAGGCAGAGAAAAGAAACCACAAAGAGCTGCTGTTACTTGTGGTGAACAGCTGAAGGCAGAAATTTCCTCCCATTGTGCCTCTGTCTTCATTGCTTGCAGACTTGAACTTTTGATGAACTGATTGCTCTTATATGATGGACCTGGGAAAACTGAAGGCAGGGTATTATTAGGGTTCCCTCACCTGCTATTGCCTGTCCATGCTTCTGTTTTTATTGCATAACTTAGGAGTTACCTTTTCTCCAAAGGAAGGCAAACAGCACATAAAAGAGCAAAAAAGTGTTTTTAAGCAAGTGTGGCTATACACCTGTGTATTTTGGGTTCTGTTTTTAGGCTGTGGCCCTGACAGTCTGCGTACCTACCACTGAGCATGAACCGATTGTCTCGTGCTCATGTGGAGGGCATGGCATATGAAGCACTTGGCTATCACAGGTAGCAAATGTACTGTGCTGCTCCAGGATGTGGCAAAGCTGGATATGGATATGCTGAAGTGACACACACTGTGTGATCACAGCAAAAAAAAATGAGTGGGGGGTGATAAGAATAGCTGGTAAATGCAAGCAGCAGGAATCAGCTGGGAGCATGCCCTGTAAAAGATCCTCATACTCCATGTCACCAACATTGCTGGGAGACTCCTGCAGTGCCAAGATGGATCACTCAGTTTCACGCTGGAATCCACGTCTCCTGATCAGCCATGTTACATAAATATACCTGTGCTCTGAAAGAAAGTAAACTGTTCTGGGCTAGGGTAATCCAGATGTGTGACACCCTTGTAGCCAATATTCTCCTGACTTCAGGGACTGCTCATCAGCAAACATAATATGCCACTCCTTGCTCTCAAGGAGCACTCCTCTCCTCCTCAGAACACCCTCAGGTCCATGATCTCCTCCCTGTCCATGTCAGGCCACAGACAAACATCAGGGAAGCACTGGGAAAGTGTTGTCTCTCACATAGCAGAGTCATACGGAGTTCCTTTCTTTTCTCCAGCCTCTGATCTTTTTGTAGAGATCATCTTTGTAAAACATGTTCATGCTGATGATGTCTGGAATTATAGAATTATTACTGCTGATCCAAATGCCCTGTGAAAGTTTCAGGAAACCTAGTTCATGGTGGAATCATGAAGGAATATAAACACTATGGTGGTCACATTGGATTTTTTTTTAATTTGTTTGTTTGTTTGTTTGTTTGTTTAAAATTCTGTTTTAGTAAGTTACCTGTTCCTGAAAATCACGTTACAATCCTAGTTCAGACCTTTTTCATAAGCACTGCAAACTACCTTTTCAGCTCTGGTAATACAACAGAGGAATTGAATTGATCCTTTCAATTTCTCAACTCCTGAGCATTTTTAGTTTTGAATGGCAAATGCAATTTTTAGGCCTTGTGATAAACTTATCAGTTACCTTCAACATACAGCAGTTTAATGACATGGCTATTGAGTGCTCACAGCTGTGCAATTTCCAAACAGTAATAGGAAACCACAGAGATCTCTAGGTTCATTGCCATTGTGAATTCTGTGGTTACAGTTTCTTCTTCCAGCTCTAAGGGACATTTTTCTCCCATGCAGTACTTCTTTGGCCAGAAATTTCTCATGAAACAGCTACTCTTCTTCCTGTCCCATTCCTTGTCCTCACATTTATTCTGATCATTAACCAGATTCCTCCTTCCACAGTCCTGTCTTTTCAGTGAACAGACAAGCCCTTAAAAAGAAAAATGTGAGAAAAAGAGGAAAAGGGAGAAAGAGAAAATCTCAGAAGTATCCAGCAGTTTTTGGAAGATGCAATATCAGGATTCCTGAAGGTCATTGGAATTAAATGTGTTTGTTTCATTAAAAGCACTAGGGAGAAAAGAAGCAGTTGCAATAATAATTTTGTATCTTATATATTCAGAAAAGAATGGAGAGTGGCATAGGTGCTATAAATAGAACAGAACAGAACAGAACAGAACAGAACAGAACAGAACAGAATAGAATAGAATAGAATAGAATAGAATAGAATAGAATATGTTCTATATGTGGAATAGGCTGACTAGAATGTATCTGGCAGACAAAGAGTGGCAGACAAAGGCAAACAGAGCGTTCAGGAAATTTATGTTTAACTATGATATTCGCTTTGAGAAAAAACAGCTGGCAGAGATGTCTTGCTTTTTGTAAAAGTGGATTAGGGCTCTCAGGAAGATTATCTGCCAGGGAATATGCATCCCTGGCTGGAAAACTGAAGAAATTAAGATACGATTGAACACAATTTTTGTGCCTTTGATATCTTGAGCAATCACCTTTGCTTCTGACTAACAAGGTACGAGTTGTGAGATACCATGGGATGTTTAGAACAACTCTTCAGAATGAAACAATACAGGCATACTTCTGCTGGAAATCATTCTGCAAGGATGGCCCAAGTTATATCCACTGATATAAATGGGTCAAAAAGTGAATCCACTGATCCTAGGTTCCTGTCTGACCTCCAGCACCCAGACCCTCTCAGTCAAGGAATGACAGTTCAGCATTCAGCTAGCAACATAATGTGGTCTGCGAGAAATTTCACATTTGTGTCAGGAGTTCAGAACACTGTCTTGTGGAAAAGCTAAAGCAGAACTTGGAGGCACGTGAATATTTAGCTTTGCTTTTACTGGCTCACCAAAGAAAGCATCAAAGCTGGACAGTCTCTTCTCTCTTCCCTGCCCAAGCTTGACAGACAGAGCAAGAGGAGGAGCATCGGTCTCTAAACTCATCTCACAGTGAGCAGGAGCACACTGTCCTGGGAGAGCTGGAGGGCCATGCTGGCTGTTGTACTTGCTCTTTTATCTGGTGAGAGACAACAGATCTGTCTGCAGCAGGGCTCTCATCCAGGCCATGCAGGGCTAGGGTTGGGTGAGGACACCTCTGGCCATTAGCTGTACTCCTACTCCTCACTCTCTCTTGTTATCTCTTATTAATGCAGGTGTTGGGGTGGAAGCCTACATTGAACAGTTGCCAGGCAAAATCCTTCAAAGAGCTGGAGACTCTTTGAACATCTCCTGCTATAGTAACCTTGCCTATATGTTCTGGTATCAGCAGCCTCCAAGACATGGTTTGAAGTTAATAGTCAGCAGTAGTACATGGAGTCGTAACTCTTACGAGCATGGTTACAGTGAGGCCAAGTTTGAAGTAACCAGAGAGAGTAGTTATTACGCTCTGATGACAATCAAGAACTTGACATCCAAGGACGAAGCTACGTATTTTTGTGCTGCGAGCGATCACACGGTGTAGCAACGTGGTTGAACACTAAGATAAAATCCCCACCTTCTCTGGGTGAGAGATGGAGTCTTTGAAAAATGTGAGGTTGTCAGGAGAAGGGGAGAGGAAGAGGAGAAAGAAGACTAGGTAGAAGTTGGGGCAATAGACCCAGGATGTTTTGAAGGGGAGAGAGAGCAGTGAAGCAATTTGATTTTGATTAATAATCTGTCTTCAAAGCCAAATTATTTATCAGGTCATCAGGTCCCTCCTTCCACCATCATATCTTCAGCGTACAGATATGCCCTGAAGAAGAGCTGTTGCTTAACTTAATGGGGTTGTGGTCAAAAGCACTGGATGTATATGGAAAGCTTCCTAGTGTCTCTAGAACAAATCTAAATAAATACTGTTGAGATCACTGGCAGACTAAGACCATGGCAGGAGAATAATATTCCACTATTAGTTTTATTATTTAGGCAGTGACAGCCAAAAAATCCTAAATGTATTTTCTGAAAGAATCCAATATATACAAACAAATATTCTGTATAAACAGACTTAATTAGTGACTTAAGTTCTCCATTCACTGTTGTAGAAGAGAGGAAAACTGAGGGGCATTCCAAGATGACTTGTCCAATACCTTCTGTTCTGTAGTCCCATCTCTTTGTCCTACATGTTACACCTTAGTCAATGTTTCTCATTCCCTTCTCTGGGACACTAACAGCTCTTCCCAGCTAAACAGGTCGTATCAGAAATTATGGGCTCTACCCTGATATCTGAAAATAATAGAAAAATTAATTTGTGATTTTTCCTAGTAGAATGACTTTGTTTTGAAGGATTTTGTCCTGTGCTTTACAGTCTATATTTCATATCAAGACAGACTCAAACAAAGGCATTAAAGAACAACAGGTCTACTGCAGGTACCTGGTTAGACTGTGATGTTGTATGCTGTTAGACAACAACTATGTGTTGACACTCTTTGAGACAAGACTGCTCGACTTATTTGTAAGGCAAGGAGATAAAATTTGCCTGTTACCTGTCCCCATCAGTTCCCATCCCTTCAGGCAGTCTGCAGAATGAAGGCTTGCTCTTACTCCTAGATGAAGCCTTTTCTTAGGCAGAGTCACAAGCCCTGGGAGGACACTCTCAAGCAACACCAAGCCAAAAAGACAAACACCAGCCTGTAGTAAGCAAATTGATCTCGTTGCAAACCAAAAATTAAAAACTGTGAGCTTGAAGTTTGCTTGTCATGCTGGGCACAGAAGAGAGAAAGAGTAGGAAGGAAAGCATCATGAACATGATGCTACCGAGTGAAAATTTACTGCATTTAAGGTCAACCAATAAAAGAACAAAAAAAAAAAAAAGTTCTCTTTTTGAGTATAAGAAAAAAATCTAAGATTATAAATTTAGGGGTAATGGATACACTGAGAGGTAATTGGGCTATCACATAGAAACAGCAATGGCAAAGGAAGGATGTGGTCTGTGGTTCTGCCATGGTTCAGCCCCAGCCAGGATCAAGCCCCATGCAGGTGCTTGCTCACTCCCCACCAGCAGGACTGGGGATAGAATTGAAAAACTAGTGGCTTGAGATAAAGACATTTAAGAGGTAAAGCAAAACCTATGCACACAAGCAAAGCATTACAAGGAATTCATTCACCGCTTCCCATGGGCGCGCAGGTGTTCAGCCATTCCCAGGATGGCAGGGCCCCATCACACATAAGGGTGACTGGGGAAGACAAACACCATCACTCCAAATGTCCCTCTCTTCCTTCTACCCCCTTCTCACCCCTTTCACACAGTGAGCATGATGCCATAGGATATGGACCATCCCTTGGATCAGCTGGGATCAGCTGTCCCTGCTGTCCCTCCTCCCAGGCACCACCACCAGTTGCCTTGCCAGCATGGTGGTAGGAGAAGCAGAAAAGCTCTTGAATGCTGTGCAAGCTCTGCTCGGCAATAACAAAAACACTTCTATCCTGTCAACAGCATTTGCAGAACAAGCCCAAAACAGAACCCCACAGTAGCTGCTGGGAAAGAAATTAGCTCTACCACAGTCCAAACCAGTGCAGGTACTCAGGGCAATCATTCCTAGTGGAACAGGGGGTGGAGTCATGGGTGGGATTGTTTTTGTACCAGGTTGTATCATTGTGGGGACAGGGGGATCCACGATGATACATTCCCCAGGAAGCCTTTACAAAAACCCTTTGGTGCAGGAGCCTTGTGGCAGAGCGTGTTAAGGCAGCTGCAGAGGATTATACAGCAGAGCAGGTGTGCTCTGCCTTGGTTTCTCTTAACAGACCTTGTATGCTGGGACCTATTTTCATCAGCTGAGAACTGAGCCTGCCCTCTCTGTGAAGCAAGCTAGCATATTCTGAGATACTGAAATGAATTTTCAGCAAATCAAACTGACTGCAGATTTACCTAAAGCCTATTGAGCGTGCAAAGCTGGGATTATTATTGTTTCCTGATGCACCAATATTTGCAAGAGATGACAAACTGGTTCTTTCTTGATGTGGTACAAGTGTTGGAATTCTGACACGTAGCAGGTGTCTCTCAGAGGCACTACATAAAATGTGTTGGGGTTCTCTGTCTTAATAAGCCTCCAATATCTGTGGACTGCCTCATGCCTGTGAGAACAAAGGTTGCCTCTAGTCCTTCTCCCCTCTGTCTCACTGGAGTTCTTCCTAATGGCCCTGAAGGGTTCATCTGGGACCACAGAGCTGATTCTTCTGGGCTCTCCTTGTGTGGATTATTTTAACTTGTCAGAAAAGTGAACAGGATCCTGAAAGACTATTCAAGACAGCTGGACTCCACGGAAGGGAAAACAAAGAGATTTGTTTTAGTTCACTGCCAAAGGTGAACCACATGCATTTGACTATGAAAACCACAAAGCAAGTATAATTTGGTTATTAACTTCAAAAACTACAGAAAAGAAGGCATCACAATGCTTGGAACACAAGACTGACAGTGAGGAAATTCTAGTTGTAGTGTTCTAGTCCCAGACAGTGACAGCCTTTGGGTGTGTCTGATTGTTTTCGAGATGTGCAAAATGAGAATATCAGATAAAATCAATGACGTAATATGGAGATTGGAGAAAGGTGTCAGAAACAATTTGGGGTGAAATGTAGACAAAGTATAAAATCTGGGAAATGCGTCTGTGAATTCTACAGATTATACAACTGATTTCAAGATGGTTTTCTGTCAAACCCCTTTTGACAGAGATCGAGTGATGTTTGGAATTCCAAATGAATAAATTATTTCTTAGATTCTGCTTATAGTAAGCCTTCTGCAGTGCATCCATTCTCTTATCTTATGATACATCCCTTTGTCACTGTGTACAACTCAGGTTTGTCTTTCGGCAGTGGCACAAAACTTACAGTAATGGGTAAGAATTTTTGGTTTTTTTCTTGTAATTCACTTCAAATGCCATGTCTTTGCTTTAGAGAATTTCATTATTATCCCCCCTTTCATTATTAAACTGTTGTTCACCTGGTGTGCTGGTAACCCAGTCTCTTCAGAGAATATAATAAGCTGGGTCCTCTAGGTAGGGGTACACCTTTCATTTTGGAGATCTGAATGAATGCATTTTCAGTGGAGAAAAATATGTCCCTAGAAAGAATTAGGAGAAGGAATGGATGAAAAAATGTATGCATAACATAAAAGAAGTTGTCTTAATATATTAACACATGCAAAAATCCTTATTCCCTAAAAATATAGCTACTGTCTGTAACACTTGTTCTGCTAGGGCTAGAAATGATGAAGGACAACTCAGTGAAAGGCTGTCTATCTCTCTGGAAAGAACTGACTTACATTTTGAAGGGGTCTAGAAAACAAAATCAAGATGATACAAGCTCAAAGTAACCTGGTTCTTTCCAGTGTAAATTAAAGACTGTGTTATCTCAGATAACTGGGGAAAAAAAGTGTGCTAGCATTTTTAATTTATAAAAAAGAAGGCAAAAATAAATGCTCAACTTTATAATAAGCATTACTAAAATCTCTCTGCAGCTTTTTAAGTCCTTGTTATATAGTAAGTAGCTCTCCACAGCACAGCCAGTTTCTTTCCACTGAACAGACTCACCAGGATGGTGATACAAAAAGATCATTAAGGACAACAGTCTTACTATTTCAGAATAGGTGCTAAACAGCCACTGAAAACCACAGAAGAAGAATATATGATTTATTTCAAAGGGGAGGAGCTCTCATGGAATGTTTCTTTCTGAGCCACATTTATGGATTTGGACTGTCCAAATCTGGGAAAACAAAGTTGCTGATCAGATGCTAGTAAATGATGGTGATCTCTTCTTCTCCTTGTGTTGCTCCTGGAGTTTGAAGAATTGATGCCTCAGATATTTGTACCATGTTGTGCCACTACTGAATAAATTGATAACAAGTGGTAAAACCCAATCTCTATAGGAAAAAATATCAGTGATCAGAACATTTTTTGAAATTGAGAGTTTATCTGAGGTGCCTGACCTGATGAAAATGAATACACGACCCCTTATTGACCATAGTCATTTATGGAGCGAACTTGAATAATCATCACCAAGGGAGTATGCAGAATAAAAACAGAGACTTTCTTCCAAGGAAAGCCTTCCAGGGAAAGGGAAAAAGGGCATTTTTAGGAACTTCTACAAAGGGAAGAGAAGACCAAGACACTGTTCTAAATATTAGAAATTATTTTGCAAGTAAAAAAAAGGGATTTATTTTAGAAGGGAAAAATATTAAAAATGTTGAAAAAAAATAGAAGGAAATATAGTTATTTAGCTCAGAATAAGAAATTACTCAGTCTACATATGGGAAATATTTTCTAATATTCTAATATGACACCTAGATCAATAGATAAATATCCTCTAAAGAAATGGTAGAAGCTCCAACAACTGATTGAGCCTGAAGCAAAAGGGCTCTGGACAGGGTATTTCTGATGTTGATCTCAGCTGTTTTGCTGCTGTTCCCTTACAGACTTATTTTTTTAGGGGACCTGAATACTCTGTGTTTCTTCTTTTGCTGGTACCACATGAGGGGAGGGTTAGCCCACAGGCTTGGCTCAGAGATCTGGGAATAGAGGAGAGGTTTTTCTGCAGCTGCAAAACAGTGTGAATAATGAGCAATTGTTCTTTGGCAGTGGGACAAAACTTACAGTCATAGGTAAGTAAGAAGTCAGATCTCTGTGATCTATGTGATACTGGTTTAGGGGACAAGAATTAATTAAAAGCTTAATAATGATAATTTTAAATGCAGCAATTAGAACAGGATTAATGCTTTATTGGTTGCTTATTAAAATGAGACGTGCCATTATGGAAGTGTAGGATTTACAGGCACAGAACTTGAAGTCCTTTGGTCTGCAGCCTTTGTCTTTCAATTCTGGGAACTTCATGAAGGGAGAGGGGAAAAAATAATTTTATTTACCCATTCTCCAAAGAAGTATTATAGAGATTGATAATCAAAATGACCAGTGTAGAAGACCAGACACAAGGGGCTGCTGATCAGACATTTCTTACAGTTCTTGCTTTTACTAGTCTCCTTATTCCATTTCAAAACTGCTCATTTTCTTTTTCTATCTTTTAGTAGTTTTATCATTCTTTCTGTCTCTCTTTTTACCTGCTTTCCTTTTCTTTTTTTTTTTTTTTATTCTCTTTTTAGTGGGGTATTCTTTTCTGGGTTTTAATCTTTTCTTTTGTGTCCTGCTGTTACCATCTCTTCACTCATTAGCCTTTAAGGCTATGAGCTGAAGAATTTTACAGAAATAATTTTAGAACAGGAGAATAAATCATAATACCAAATGCTAGAAGGGAGAAGTAGAAGCAGTCAACTTCTCTACATACCCACTAAATGGAAAGCAGAGTAGTGCTAAACTATCTAGGGAATTATCTCTATTTAATACCCAGGTCACCTAAAGTCTGTACAAGCTCATAGAGAAGCAACCCAGGGATCTTTGCAGACCAAGCACTGCTGGTCACAATTAAGGCATCATTTCAATGCAAACATGAGGGCTTAGGGGAAAAGATCTCTGCAAGATATAAATTTCTGCTAATTCTGCTGCCTCTCTTCCTCTGCAAAGGAGAGAGTGATCAGAAACAACACCTACAATTCATAGTGCCTTCATATAAAAAAACAACCCAAAGTCATAATTTTCTCTTTGGCTTCATACTTTTCTATGCATTTCTTTTTCCAGCAGCACTCTACAGATCCAATGGGTTTCTCATGCTAGATGAGTAAAAAAAGGAACTCTAATATAGTGTATGGAAAACGCCCTGGCTTTTGGGGTCACTGCCTGGCTTCTGAGTAACTTCTCATGGCTGCCTTGTGCATCCTTTTGACTGAAGTCTGTTCTCGCTGGTCTTACAAGCAGGTATTAAACACTTTAGGACAGGGAACAACCTTTGATTTGTGGGTGTATAGAATCTTGCATCATTTTGGGAAGGTGTATAGCCTAGGCTCAGAGCTTCTCACAGCTACAATAACCTAAACATTAAATTACATAAAGACATGTTTAATGTTCTTAAAGATGGCTAGGTTAAGGCACAAGGCAAAACCTGTCCCTGGCAGATTCATGTTACCTGCCTCAAGTGTTCTTCAGACTGTGAGAAGGATCAGCTCCTTCCTTCCTTCCTTGCAGGTCTTCTCTTCCATAGGGAGCCAAGTAGGGTGCCCCATGAGAGTATAATTCTGAACACTGCAATGACCATGGTGTCTTAACTCCATCTCCATGTCATGCAGATGTACATCTCTGAATGTAATTCAGTTTGTTGAAGATGTTTGTGCCATATAAGAGACTCCCTTATCTATTAATACAATATTACAAATACAGAGCTTACAGCAAAACTGGGGAACATTGCAGACTGCCAGTTTGCTCATCAGCTTCTTTGCAGCTTTGTGTTCTTCAGCCAGAGGCAATACAAGAAATTCATGTGCTTGTGCATTTCTGTGGGCAGACCTTTATGTTTCTGTGTAACAAGTGGAAACAAATGCTTCCACCTTCCTGGTGTGTCATATCCAAGAGACATTAATTGTTCAGCTGTTAAAAGGCCAGGGATTTCAGGAGTAACAAGGCACAATCTCAAGAGGAGCCCTTTCTGGGGATTGTGATAGAACAGAGTGATGGAGCTGTGTTGCTTTGTGTTTCAGGGAAGGATGATGAAATCCTACCTCCAGCTGTGGCCATCTTTTCCCCATCAAAGCAGGAGATCCAGCAGAAGAGCAAGGCCACGCTGGTGTGCCTGGCCTCTGGCTTCTACCCTGACCACCTGACTCTGGCCTGGAGGGTGAATGGTGTGAGAAGGACCGAGGGGGTGGGGACAGATGAGTCCTCCACACAGAATGGGAGCACCTACTCGCTGACCAGCCGACTGAGGATGCCAGCCTGGGAATGGTTCAACCCTTTGAATCGCTTTGAGTGTGTTGCCTATTTCTTTCACAATGGAACAACACAGTCAATAAACAAATTTATCTATGGTGATGCTGGTGAGTAAAAAAACATCTCTCACCGTGCTGTATAAGACAGAAATCACAAATCAAAAGAGCGTGTGTTATGATATGAACCTCATCTAGATGTATCTTCCATACAGGGTCTTCTTCTGGCACAAATAGATGCCTAACTAATATGTTGGTATTAGCATATGTCTCTTCCCATTCCTGGACCTCTGCACCTACATTACCATTACCCATCTAGAGTTTCTTCAGGCTTTCCACTGAGAAATCTCTGTAGTAGCGTAAATTGCACAGTACCATAAAAACAGCTAGTGTAGTAATATGCATTAGCCAGTGTTTTGTAAACTGAGACTTCTAAAATCTGTATTGTGTTTTCTTTGAAGAGAAACATGACTTTGTGTTCACTTTTGTCTTCCAGGCTGTGCACTCACAGAAGGTACGTGTGTCTTCTCACATAAGGAGAATTTTGCCTCTTCTCTCAGGCAATTATCTGTGTGTATTTTAATTCCAGCTTTACTGACACTAAGCACAACGTGTGGGAGATATCTGCTGTATGAATAGCTTCTTCTTTCTCCTCTAAGTGATTTGTATGTGATAGTAAAAATGAAAAAACAAAAAAAGGAAGAAAAGTTTTTTGGAGGGTTCTTTGTGCATGTTATATGTAGCTCTGCTTTGGGCTTTTGCTCTCCCATATGATTCCATTTTGAAAATAGAAGAAATCATGTTACCTTCCTGTAGATTAGAACTTATTCTTTATCATTTCCTCCAGTCGTAGAAGCTGACCTCCAATGGGAATATTCTTACTCGGCCAGGAAAGAAATGATCCATACTTATCCAAGTGATTCTGTCATCAGGGTTCAGGATATGATATTTCTTAGTGTCAAGTTTCCCTTCCCGAGTCACATTCCCTTCTACACTGCTGTCATATGTGGAGGATACTCATATTAAAAATTACATTTCTTTTCTCTTTGTATACATATTTGCACACTCCTATTTTTCAACAACTTCTTTAATGCTTGAGGAATCTTAAGGCTGAGCTAAGACAGAGCTGGTATCTCAGTCCTATGACAACCCCTTAAGAGTGAAAAATCTACAAGAATAAAACTTGTAGAAGCCGTGTTATTCTGACTTTCCTGACACATCAGCAGCACTTGTAAGGCCACTGACAATAATGAGACAAAATAAAAAATGTGCATCTTGTGATTCAGCCTATTTTGCATTCCTAAGAGGGGATTTGGATGAACAGCCCAGTTCATCAGTAGATGTGGCAACTCAGCACTTTCCTGGCATGAAGGCAATCTCTGTCTTTCCTAGACTTGCTTTCTCTTTTGGTTCTTTGAGTCACTATGGTCTGTTGCATTCCCTGTTTCCTGGCGCCAACTGAGCCACTCATTTGGCTCTAGTTCCTTTCTGTGTCTTAGCTAAAGATTTCAAGGGTTCTCATTTGATGACAGCTCCATTAGAACCAGCATCTCATGGTGATGATGATGATGATGATGATGATGCTGATGGTGATGATGCAAATAGAATACAGAAATGGTGTTTGACTTGCAGAGTCGTACTTGCGGTATGGAAATTCTCTGAAGCTCACTTACCTCATCCTCTGTGGCAAAGCCTTGGTCTATGCAGTTTTGGTGAGTGGTCTGGTGTGGACAGCCAAGGTAAGTCAGAGTGCCCCTGGAAGGCTGGGCTTACTCACTTGTCAAGGATCAGTGCATGCAGACTAAACCTGTTCTCAGAGGTGTGGCTGTTCTGCAGGTGCTCTGCCAGGCTTTGTGCAGTCCTGCTTGAAAAATCACAAGTGATGGGTTTTCTATTACTGTCTTTCTAGAACTCAAATAAAATCAATGCTATCTA